AAAAAAAATCCAAAAATTATTTCCTTTCCATAAATGGAATCTGGGGTGCCAGCTCAGCAAAAAGGTCAAAGATATTTTCCGCAATGGGCTCCACCTTTTCGCACTCTCCTGCTAGACTGCAACTAATCCCCCCTCCCCTCCCCCTCATCCTCATGCTTCTCATGTGCTCAATTCCAAAAGCTAAAAAATGTGCTCCATCTTCTTCTTCTTCTAACATATAGGAGTCGTTCCCCGAACTTCTAGGTTGTATTTCTCTGACGCTCATGATGGTTAGCTTGATTCCGGAGACCAAAGAGATGGTGCCCTGCGATTTCTGTAATGACCAGATTGCGGTTCTCTTCTGTAGGGCTGACTCGGCGAAGCTCTGTTTGTTCTGCGACCAGCATGTGCACTCCGCGAACCTGCTTTCGCGGAAGCACTTGCGGTCTCAGATCTGCGATAACTGCGGTTCTGAGCCGGTTGCGGTTCGGTGCGTGACGGATAATTTGGTTCTGTGTCAGGAGTGTGATTGGGATGCGCACGCGAGCTTTTCTGTGTCTTCCGCACATGAGCGGACTCCGGTTGAGGGGTTCTCCGGATGTCCTTCGGTTCTGGAGCTGGCGTCTGCCTGGGGGTTTGATTTGGAGGGTAAGAAGTTGGAGAGTCAATCGTCGCCGTTGATACAGAATTGGAACGGGAGTCAGGATTTCGTGATGCCGGTGGATTCGTGGATTTATAAATCGAGTGGTCAAGAGATGATTGTTCCGTACCAGAATGTGAACTGTGGAGAGATAGTTAAGAAACGGAGCCCGAGCTGCGGAAAGTACAAACAGGCTATATACAACCAGCTGGTGGAATTGATGAAGACGGGTTTTATCGGAGGCGATGGCAGCGGAGGTCGTGGTTGTGGAGAAAATGCGGAGGCCAATGGTGGTATTCTGACTCGACAAGAAGCGATGCAGCATCAGTTTCCGTACACGTCTTTGCTCATGATGCAGACGCAACATAACAATCGAATCGTTGATGGTGATATTTTGTGGAATGGCAATCAAACTGGGCCTGTGCATACCCCTCAGGTACCACTTGCTTTTGCGTGCCCAACTTTACTACCTTTTTGTGGGTATGGTTGGGGACTGAGCATCGTGGAAAGGGAAAAAATTTGGATTCGGCTTCCGTTGTTTTATTTATTTATATTTATGCATTGACATCATAGTTACTGCAATACTGCTTTCTCCAATAATCATCGAAAGAGCTCGTGTGTGTTTCTTATTCCACAAAGTCGTTATTCTTAGCATAATTTACTGATTGGTTCATCTATATTGTAAGTAATCAAATAGTGTTTGAAAAGATATTATTTGCTTTAAAATGTAACTTGGAATTTGCTACTCCCTTGCAGATATGGGATTTTCATTCAGGACAGTTGAGGGGTCATGAAGAATCTAGCCGATTAGAAGGTGCGTATGGTGCAAGTGATGAGGCATTCATAATCGAGAATTTCAGTGAAGTTATGGAAGATGCATCTTTGACTAATACTAAAATGTTAGGAGATGTTTTCCAGTTGAGCTGTCCTGGTCTGCATGAAGATTTTGCATCATCTAATGTAAGTCCTGATCAAAACTATTTTTGTTTCTAGAATCTATGTAGTGTGCACATGGAAGATTCTTTCTTACAACTGAGATGCTTGATTTTAATGATGTCTGATTAGAGGACATAGGGAAATATGAAACATGTATGCCTATCCCTCTAATCTATTCATGTAAACCCTAGAATTATCCTTTCGTATTGCTGGTGAATTTTTCCATCATGAAAAGAGAACGCACATAGAATTGTTTGCCGTTATGTAATACAAAAGAGCAGTGATTATTTGAAAATATGTGTTCTCTTGCTGGAATATATATAACTTGGTTACCTCGTCTTAAGCTGTTGTGCCATACTTCTTGTAATCTATATGATCTTTATTTTACCTTTTAGCTACTGTCTTCAAGATAGCATTTTGATACCTTAGGAAGAATCAGCCATTTTGATGGCCTTTGAACATTTCATTAAAAGAATGTAGAAGTTATGCATATAGATTGATGCAATGTTAAATGATATCTCTTCATTAGAATGTGGAAGATTGTTATGTTACATATATATGAACTTGATATAGATAGGGTGGAGACTGAATAATTTTGGTAATTTGTTAAGCAAAAAATTTTAGGTTAATCTTACATGTTTTGTTGCATGTATGAAAGCAGTCCTCTATTCCTGATTTTTGAGTGAGTTAAATGCTTTGCTTACAGTACAGATTCTTATGTTTGAGAATGCAGAATAACTCAAATAACCCAGTGGCCAGTCAGGGGCCAGCAACTTCTGAAAGCAATAACTTACCAATGGTAATCACACCATCAGGTTCAGTTTTTGGCAAGCTGAATGGGTCTGGTAGCTCCAAGGATATCCAGTTCGTGGAAGAGTCTTTCCTTCTGAGAAGCGACCACACAATACCAGAAGCACCAAGCAAGGCTGATCTGGAGCTGCTAGCACAGAACAGAGGCAATGCCATGCAGCGTTACAAGGAGAAGAAGAAAACAAGAAGGTATATCTTTACCTTTGTCATTTTCTAGTAATCATCTATTCTGTGGTTTTACCAAATTATATGGGCACTGAATATATAATCCATGTCATGAATAGATATGATAAACATATAAGGTATGAATCAAGGAAGGCAAGAGCTGATACAAGGAAGCGAGTGAAGGGTCGATTCGTTAAGGCTAGTGAAGCTCCTCGTAGTTGAATCTGTACTGAGATAAAAGCTCCCTGCTTCAGTCATTCTGTTATTGTAAATATTTCCCACTTTCCTCGGTAAATGTATAATTTGGCAGTCTCTATTTTCATTTTATCATTTCCTCTCTAGTTTCAGCAAACTACATCCTTCCCCAACAAAGAACTGGGAAAAATGTTTGTCTGGAGATGAGAGGTGTCTGTGCCTTTTTGTCATGTTTGAGCTGGATCTGGGGCAAGTAAGGTCCTTTAAAGACAGCTCAATTGCATTACTCATTTTACGTGTACCAAGTATAAATTATTCCACTTGCTCCCCTCCCTAATCGTCTTCTTCTCCTCCTCTGTTCCTCTTGGTCTCTCCTAGAAACAGCTAGGGTAGTTCTCTCCTTTTGAAAGTGAGGCTTCAGTTCCTTATGGCAACAACAAAAGTGTGGTCCCTGGCAGTGAGGGTTTGGTGATCACTTAGTGTTTGGTCGTCTGCTGCAGTTTTCCTATTGGTGTCTCCAATGAACAAGCATTAGAGAGGTAGAAAAATGTGAGGTTTTTGCTTGGCACGGAGACACGCATTGCAGGGAGGTCATCTCGCAGAGTGGTTTTTCCTGCACCCGTGGGGCCTTTTTTTTTTTCGACTTAATTTCCTTCTTTTGCTTGATATTGGATCGGTCCTGTGATCCAGCATATTTAGCTATTATTGTCAGATATATATTTATAGCTTTGATAAGCAAAATCTCACATTTTCATAAAGAAAAAAAGGAAATAAATTATTCGGGATGCAGCGGATGAATTCTGGTTACTCTAATCTGATCTCATTGTCAATGCATCAATAAGCTTTAATAGTGTAGTATTGATTATTAGCCCATCTAGATGAATCGCCTACTTTCGCCGTCTGAGTCAATGCTTGACTACTGACTAATGAGAGTTCAGAGGTGCATGTAAGTGGCTTCTTTAAATTAGGTCAAAGTCCTCCATTACCTTTTTTTTTTTTTAAAAAAAAAGAGTTAGGTCAAAGTCCATTCTATTGGCTTGAACTCGTCAAAATTGAAAATTGAATCAGTCCTCAGTAGGAACTAACCTCTGTTTTCTGTAATATTTCATTGCCCAAACTCCTAATTATGTCTTTTAATTTATTATTGGGACCAAAGAAGTGATTCTTTGCTTAATCTTCACACTCAACACAATCCCTAAACTTTTCCTCGAATGTACAATGCATTTTAGAACCGTGAATTGATTTCTATCCTTTATATGAACTGCTTATCGGTTCATCTGGTTGTGCAAAACATATCAGCCAACTAGTGATTAAGGTTCTAAGCCTCTAAAGTGGTTTCACCTGTGCACTTAAGAAGCTTTGGATTGTAGATGAACTTACTATATATATATATATATATATATATATATTTTGAACATGGGGAATTTAGAGGACGGAGATATTTGTTTTTAAGATATTGGTGGTGTTGGGATTAGACCCAACACCTGCTTCGGGCCACCAGCAGCTGGCCCAGTTACGCACCCACAGGCCCAATAGGAGAAGACATACCCACGTGGACAGCACCACGTGGGCCAATGAGGGACTATAAATACCTCTCAACTACCTCCGATGAAGGTAATTAATCTCTACGCTTCTTTCTCTGCAATTAGTCCTTGAGAGCATCTCTCTCTAGAATATCGAGTATTGTTGACTTGAGCGTCGGAGTGTTTTCCCGAGGAAACATCCTTGGGATTTTCAGGTGTAGAAGCAGCTGAGGATTTCAACAGTGTTGGACTGCGAAGCTGCCTAAACATTTGGCGCCGTCTGTGAGAACTGAACAAGAAGTTGTGTAGCTTAACTTGCTAAAAGGCAAAATGGTTCGTACTTTTATAGGAGGTCGCCCTCCAAGAAATGAAATGGATGAACAGAAGGACACTCAACTGACTGAACTCGGCTTGAATGACTTTAGGCCAATACCAAGAAACCTTTTCGTAGGGGGAGCAGAACAGGATCAATTAAGTGGAACAGATGCTGATGAAAGAACACCAACAAGGTATGCAACTCAACCCGAACATTTCCAAATTCCAACAGGAACAAGGCAAAGACATCTGAGACTAGGTGACTCACAACATGAACGATCTGAAAGGTCAACAGAACCTGCTCGAACAACCGAGCTCGAAGAGAAAACCAAAATTCTCGAAATGGCAATGGGCAACATCTTAGCTCGTCTGATTCCTGATGACCCCTTGATGACCCCCTGATTCCTTTGTTGAATAGGGATGCACAGACAGCTGTGGTTGTTGCAACTCGAAACTCACCCGCGTTGAGTAATATAGTAGTGCCGACCAAACCGAGAGGAAGTGGGAAGCTAAATAACGAGCCCAGCTCATCCAAACATAGTGAAGAACTGATGAGAAAGAACGTAGACCTTGAAAGGCAGCTGCGGGATGTACAAAAATCCATTGACGAGCTAAAAAGTCCCAGGTCGCACCAACAGACCCTTGATTTGGATAGTGCTCCACTAAACCTATCCATCACAGCAGAACCGTATCAAGAGGGATTCAAAATTCCCCACTTGGAGACATATGATGGCTCAGGCGATCCAGATGAGCATCTGCACACCTATCAAGCCATCATGAGAATCCAAAATGCCAATGATGCCATGATGTGCAAAGTGTTTCCTACGGCACTGAAGTCAACAGCCAGAAGATGGTATCACAAACTCCCCAGACATTCCATAGACTCCTACTCCTAGCTCGCCAAGCTATTCTCTAACAAATTTGCAAGCCAAAGGGAGATCAAACGCACAGCAACCGAGCTGATGCAAGTTCATCAGAAGGAAGGGGAATCTTTGAGGGATTACATGCAGCGGTTCAACAAAGCCACCTTAGACATTGATAACGTCCTCGATACCATCTGCTTGTCTGCCTTGCTGCATGGCTTGAGGCGTGGCTGGTTCCTAGACGATCTGCTAGAAAACCCGTCGAAGACGTGGAACGAAGTGAATGACAAGTCGGCTAGTTTCTTACTGTCAGAAGATTTCCAGTCGTCCAAGCGACGAGCTGATGATAAGCAGAGTAAAAGCCAAGAACAACCACCAAGGAGAGAGGAAAAGAAAAAGCAAAAAGTCAACGAACAGTGGGGGAAGCCAGCTGACTTTTCGAAGTATGCTAACTACGTCCCTTTGACCTTGCCGAGGTCTCAAATTCTAGCACAAATCCAGTACTGGATTCGAAGACCCCCACCCTCGCTGCATGATCCCCCAAAAGCAGATAAGAGTAAACATTGTGACTACCATCATGTATACGGCCACAATACAGAAGACTGCTAACACTTAAAGGACGAGCTGGAGTTCTTAGCTCGCAATGGGAAGTTAGAAGGATATGTCCATAAGCCTCATACCCAGCAACCAACTCAAAATCACTTTGTGCAAGGGTATGACCGACCTTAGGGGTAGAGGTACCAGCTCGGCAACACACATGACATATATCAGGATAACCAATCTCCTTCTAAGCAAGGCAGAGCGTACAGAGGCTGCCAATTCAATAGGCGAGGCCAAGGTCAGAGACCTGCCACCCAGAACCAAAAAGACAGGAGAGGAGTTGGATGCAGTAGGATACCCTCGCCGTTTGGCACAATCAACATGATCTCTGGTGGTATGCACTCAGGGGGCCAAAGTGCCCGGGCCCGTAAGGTGTATGCCCGGCAGGTGATGACCGTTAACCAAAACAAGCCCTTGAAGCGGCCGTTCGAGGAGGCGGAGTGGGAGAATGTGGCCATCACATTCAGCCCGGTAGATTATAAGCAAGCAGACGGAGAGCCCAACGTTATGATGCCTCATGCAGATCCATTTGTGGCAACGGTCCATATAGGCAATCATAACGTCAACAAGGTCTTTATTGATATGGGTAGCTCGCCAGATATTCTTTATTGGAGCTATTTCCAAAAGATGCAGCTGAATCCGAGCTCGCTGCAGAAATATGAAAGGCCCATCTACGGGTTCAATAATCAGCCCGTCCCGGTTGAAGGAGTCATTACTTTACCCATCTATGTGGGCTCAGAACCGCGCTTTAAGATGGCTTCTGTTAGCTTTCTGGTAGTCAAGATGGAGTCAGCTTTTAATGCTATATTAGGAAGGGCTACCCTGTGCGAGCTGAAGGCTGTTATCTCACAACCCCATCTCTGCATGAAATTCCCAACGCCTCAGGGGGTAGGAGTGCTAAAGGGGAATCAGAAGATGGCCAGGGTATGTTATCAAGATACATTTAAGAAGGTTCAGCTCGCTGTAGCCCCAAGAGGCTCCTCTGAAAGCAATAGGCCGACTCAGCCCGGCCAACAGACAATAAGCATATCGGACATTGAGCATCGACTTGAGGGTGTCGAGCAAAAAGCAGAGCCAATAAAGCTAGTAGAGATAGTTCCTCTAAACCCCAATGTGCTGGAAAGAACAGTCAAGATCAGTACCCAGCTCATAGAGGAATAACAAACAGAGCTTCTGGAGTTTTTGAGGGTCAATCAAGATGTGTTTGCGTGGACTATGGATGAAATGCCTGGCATCCCGGCAGAGTTGATAGTCCACAAACTTAGCACAGACCCCACCAAAAGGCCGGTGATGTAGAAACGTCGCCTTTTTGGCCCTGAGAAGCAGGCTGCTATAGATGAAGAAATACAAAAGCCACTATAGGCAAGCTTTATCAGGAGAGTGGAATACTCTGAGTGGGTATCCATCCCGGTGCTCGTCAAAAAACCAAATGGCAAGTGGAGGATGTGTATTGACTTCACCAACTTAAACGAGGCATGTCCAAAAGACCCTCATCCATTGCCAAATGTGGAGAAGCTAGTAGAGCGGGCAGCCGGGCATGAGCGGATGAGCTTTCTTGACGCTAGCTCGAGGTATCACCAGGTTCAATTGCTGCTGGATGACCAGGAGAAAACAACTTTCTATGCTGGTGACGCAATCTACTACTATGTCATAATGCCATTTGGCTTAAAAAATACTGGCGTTACATATCAAAAGCTGGTGTAAATCATCTTTAAGCTTCAAATCGACAGGAACATAGAAGTATATATGGATGACATGATAGTCACCAGTGTACGAGCTGAAGATCACATAGATGACCTGAGTGAGACGTTTCAGAACTTGCGCCGAGTCTAGATGAAGCTGAATCCCCTGAAGTGCACATTCGCTGTAGAATCAAAAAAATTCTTAGGGTACGTGGTATCCAAGAAAGGAATTGAAGTGAACCCAGAGAAGGTTATGGCCGTTCAGCAGATGGAGCCTCCTAGGACTGTAAAGGATGTGCAGTGCCTGACAGGTCGTATAGCTGCATTGCACAGGTTCATAACCAGGTTGGCGGAAAGGTGTCTCCCATTCTTCAAAGCCCTGCGAGAGGCCAAGAACTTTCAATGGACCGACAAGTGTCAGCGGGCGTTTGACGAGCTCAAGCAATATTTGGCATCAGCACCCCTACTGTCCAAGCCTATGGAAGGGGAGAATTTATACCTGTACCAGGGGGTTACAGAAGAGGCAGTGGGCTCAATTTTGCTCAGGGAGGAGAATAAGAATCAGAAGCCTATCTGCTATTTGAGCAAGGTTTTACAAGGTGCCGAGCAGAACTACCTACTAGCAGAAAAGGCTGCTTTTGCCCTGGTTTACACAACTCGTAAGTTGAGAGCTTATTTCCAATCACATCGAATGGTCGTCGATACCGATCTGCCATTGAGAAAAATACTATAGAAACTGGAACTCTCTGGTCAGCTTATCGGGTTGAGTATCGAGCTGAGTGAATACGATCTCAAATTTCAGCCGCGCACAACCATAGAAGGCTAGGTTGTTGCAGACTTTTTGGTGGAGTGCATCTCAACGACTGGGGAAGAAAAAGCACTCGAGCAACCAGTCTGGGTCTTGTATGTTGATGGAGCTGCTAACATTAAAGGATCGGGTGCTGGGGCTGTGTTGTTGGGCCCAGACGGCTTTAAATCCGAGCACGGCCTGAGGTTTAAATTTCAGACCACTAATAACGCGGTGGAGTATGAAGCGTTCATTTATGGATTGAAATTGGTGTCCGAGCTGAAGGTACAGAGCATTCAGGTTTTTAGCAACTCTCAGCTCGTTGTGGGCCAGGTGAAAGGCAACTGTGAGATCAGGGATCCTCAGCTGGGTCGTTACGCTTCTCTGGTTAATAGATTCAAGTCAGGATTTGTTTCTTTCCAAATCGATAAAATACCAAGAGCAGATAACCACCGAGCTGACGAGCTGTCAAAGTTGGCCTCCTCGCAAGACCTTAATCCTCAAAGGTCAACAATTGTCAAAGTGCTTGACACACCGAGTTACACTGATTTCACAGTTGAGTGTCAGCTGCTTAGCACAGATCCCTCTTCACCGAGCTGGACTACCCTGCTCATAACTTATCTGCAAAGTGGCGAGCTACTTGAAGATCCGTCCGTTGCAAAATTGATTAAACTTCGGGTGGCACATTTCACTTTGTCGGGTAACCAGCTCTACAAACGAGCAGCTTCAATGCCCCTATTGCGTTGCCTCACTCCTTATGAAGCTGAATACGCTGTGAGAGAAGTTCATGAAGGAGTATGTGGCACACACATAGGTGGTAGAACTTTAGCTCGGAAACTCTTGAGGCATGGGTATTACTGGCCAACTATGGTTGAGGACACACAGAACTATGTCAAAAAGTGCCCGACATGCCAGTTCAACGCTGACAACATTCACATGCTAAGAGAAATGGTATCATCACCCTCATCTCCTTGGCCATTTGCTCAATGGGGAGTCGATTTGCTCAGGCCTTTTGTCAAAGGCAGGGGAGGCTACACTTACCTAGTTGTCGCTGTGGATTACTTCACCAAATGGATAGAAGCTAAACCATTGTCCACGACAACAGAGAAGAAAATAGAAGAATTCCTGTTCCATTCAATTTTATGCAGGTATTCTTTGCTGGCTTAAGCCATTGGTATGTTATATACAAGTATGATCTATGGCTCAGCTCGGTCATCTCTATATAGGTTTGGCATACCCAAACGAATCATCGCTGACAATGGTCCACAGTTCCGAGCCGCGGCTCTGAGGTCGTTCTGTAACGATTATGGCATTGAGCTCGCGCTGACATCTGTGTACACTCCATAGTCAAATGGACAAGTTGAGTTCGTCAATAAAATCATCTTGCGAGGCCTTAAGACGCGTGTTTCAGTTGCACAATCTAATTGGGTTGACAAGCTCAATAAAGTCCTTTGGTCATGTCGCACTACACCCAGCTCAACCATAAGCGAAAGCCTTGCTTATGGAGCTAAGGCTGTCATCCCCGTAGAGGTCGGATTGCCATCTAGTAGAGCAGGTCGGTACAACGATCCTAGCAATGAATGACTCTTAAGAGAGAACCTAGACCTTGTGGAAGAGGTTAGGGAGATGTCTCGAATACGAAACATGGAATATTAGGGTCGGGTTGCAAAATTTTACAATAAGAGAGTTCGAGCTCACCGGTTTCAAGTTGGCGACCTGGTTTTACGCAAAACTGGATTAACCAACGCTTATTTACACATGGGCAAGCTCACTCCTAATTGGGAAGGTCCATATATGGTTGTTCGAGTTAACCGACCTTGATCTTACATATTAGCAGATATGCACGGGTGTCAATTTCCATTTACGTGAAATGTTCAGAATCTTAGAAAATTTTACAGTTGATTTGTATTATTGCTTGATATTTAGAAAACTTGAATGATGTATGAGAGCAATGCAAATAATACACACAGTTCTTCAAAAATCATTTAGATTATATTCCTTGTAAGCCAACTACATGAGGTGTCCATGTAAGTACAAAATGTGTCTTAAACAAGGATATACTAAAATCTAATCCTAATCATCCGTTAAATCAACGGGAATTGATGCATTAGCACAAGCCGGAGAGGGGACGGCAGCAGTAGGGGCGGACTGAGGCGCGGGAGGAGTGCTCAAAGGTTTAGCTTCTTCTACAAGAGTGTCACCCACCCAAGAGTCGAACCTAGGCAGGTTCTCAAACTCCTTTCCCTCCTCTAAAACAGACGGAAGCCATATAGGCACTCCTTCATTTAGTTCCTAACGGAGTCGCACCGTAGTATCAGCAGGGGCAGTAAGGCTCTTCCCCTCCGCGTCAAACTCTTCACCTTCAAAAAATGCCAACTAGTTGATCGAGAAGTCTGGTTGGTGCTTCAACACTTTGCCACGAACGTCATTGTAAATCTCAGTTGTGGTGTTCATAGATGCCATAGCCACGGCATCTTGGAACATGTCAGCACCCACCAGCCATTCCGCGCCTTGAGCTCGCGTGATACTAATGCAGCGATGGTGTTGAGCTTTGGCCTTCCTTAGCGACTCCTCTGCCCGAGCAAGGTCTTGGTTGGCCATGGCTACCCGTCTTCTTAGTGTGTTGAGGTCGTTCAAGGCGCTGTCTCTTTCAACTTCCACCTTCTTCGTGCGATCTACCACGCGAACGACCTCATCCATGGTCGCCTGAATCCCACTCTGCTTTTCAGCCTTCACCTTGTCTAGCTCCTCCTACAACTGGTTGACCCTGTTGGCCAGCTCGTCGGCCCGGCTTTCTGCTGATGCAGCTCTGTTGGCCATCTTTGAGCTTTGCAAACAGTTCACCTCATCCTCCAAGCTCGCTTTGTCTGAGGTCAACCGTTTGCAACTGTTAGCCAGCTCTCGATTTTGTCCCTAACCTGCCTGCTCACCCACAAATAAAGCCATAGAGTAGCTTAACGCCTGTAACAACACTTTAATAATCAGCTTTCGCTACAAAAATTACAGTAAAATAGCACGCTCGTTACCAAAGTACTCACATCCATAAGCTTCAACATCGCAGCATGGCTCCCATGCTGCTGAATGTAACCCTTGGCGCGCTGGCAGTCCACAGGTGGGACGAAGTTTTGCATAGCCTAGACCATCGCGAGGTGACAGTCGGCTTTGGTATAGCTAAAGCCCTCAGGGTATGCGATCCTGGGGCCCCCATTAGCTGCTGGTGGGGGAAGTGCCTCAGTCGTGCCGCGCGTTTGGGCTGCGGGTGTGTCAGGTGAACGGATCGCTTTGGATTGACTTCTAGTGTTCAATCTGCGCCGAATCAGTGGTACATCATCTTCAGCATCGGAGTCTTCGTGAGCGCGCATCCGGGTCTCAACAACGACGGTTCAACTCTGCGCTCAGCCTGCGGCCGTGAGGCTGAGCTGGAGCCTTGCTCCCTCTGTAACGAGCTGCGAGGTGCTGCAGGGGGCAGCTTGTGAAAGCGTGTTTGTCTCCGCGAGCTGGACCCAATCCCTCTGCCTCGTGAGCGCTGAGCTCGTTCACGTTGCCTTTCTAGCATGCTACTCATCTTTCCTGCACAAACACATGCAATAAGACTCAGCTCGTGAAAAACAGTCATTTACAATAGAGTTGTACCTTCACTAAACAGGTTTGTGACATCCACAAACCCACGCAAAGTGAGCAGCTCAAGGGTAACTAGGGCTTCCAAATCAATTAACCCCTCTCCCTTCACATAGTTAGTTATCCTGTCCTTAAGCTCTAGGTTGCCAGGGGTTAATGTAGGATAGTTCATGTACGCGTAATATGAGCGCCACTTAGAGAGGCGAGCTGCCAGGTCGTTGCTAACCCTATCTGTTTGTGTACCCCGGGCAAAAATAAATTGTCTCTTCCAGCGAGACACCTTATTCCTCACACTCTTAAAGACCGCCATTTTTTCGCGCCCAGAGATGTAGTACCACCTTGTCTGTGTGGTACTCAGCCGGCATAGGAAGAGCGATCTGAACAGGATTGCCTTTGCAGGTATCTCCAACCTCGCGCACAACAGCATAAATCCTATTATAAATTTTATGCTGTTGAGGGTCAGTTGTGTCAACGCGAGCTCGTACTCTGAGAGAAGATCAAAAATTAGCCCAGGCAAGGGGAACCTCAACCCAGCATCGAAGTGGCCACATATACGGGTATCCACCCTGTTGCTGACATGTTGCAGGCCCTTTCATTCTTGGTGCCAGCTTGTAATAAAACTGTCCTAGGCACGTGGTACTGCCTCACCACTTCCTCCAGTCTTGTGTACCCTTTAATGGAGGTGGCACAATCTGCTACCTCGTGGTGCAAGTTTGCCCTAAACCTAAATCCCGCTGTTAATGTGTGTGGTGCCTTGCAGAGGTTGCTCAACCTACCACCTATCGTTTTGTTTTCCCAGCCTGCAACCACGGGCACATCTACAGCCACCTCCATACTTTCCGGCAAGGGACTACTTGCACCCTCCTCTACATTTTCTCCGGCACTAGGAGTTCTTTCTGATGACGACCCTTCAGACGACGGAGAAAGGTTAGCACCAAACCCCTTGTGCGCGCTTGGACTGGCACTACTCTCGGGTGTAAGGCTTTCCGGCAAGTTTTGTAGTTCCGATGGTACAATCATCGCAATCGGTTCTGCAGATATCATGCTCTCTTCCCCTTCCATGCCATGGTTAGCCCAGAGTTCTCCTACTTCTCTAACAGATTCCATTTGTTATTACCTGAAAAGTTGGTTGTGGAATTCCCTTAGAACGTCGCCTGAAAACTGTGGAAGTCCTTTATTGCAGAAGAATATAAAGAATATGGAACTGGAATATGGAAACAGAGGTGACAGAGAGGTTAAGTGACCGTTCCCATCATTACCGTACACGCCTTTCTGCCAACCAATCAAAATATTACACGTGGCAGGTACTTATTGCTCGGCGCATAACGTCTGCCGGCTTTAGCTGTCACGTCTCTTCAAACGCTGAGCCAGCATTTATTAGGGGGGGATGGGGAATACTAACCGCTCTGAACCATATCTCTTTAGAGATTTCGTAGATTCAAACTTCAAAAAGTGACAAAGACCAGCTCGTAACTGCTCTGAACTATATCTCTTCAAAGATTTCGTAGATTCAAACTTCAAAAAGTGATAAGGACCAGCTTGTAACCGCTCTGAACCATATCTCTTCAGAGATTTCCTAGATTCAAATTTCAAAAAGTGACAAGGACCAGCTCGTAACCACTCTGAACCATATCTCTTCAGAGATTTCGTAGATTCAAACTTCAAAGAGTGACAAGGACCAGCTTCTAACCGCTCTGAACCATATCTCTTCAGAGATTTCATATATTCAAATTTCAAAAAGTGACAAGAACCAGCTCATAACAAATATGAGATCATCTTAGAGGTCTGCCCCTGATTTGAAATTTGAAAGTTTCAAGGAATCTGCTCGTCACTAATCCACGATCTCTTCAGAGATCTCTAACTTGAAAGTCTATAGAGATCAGGTCGTAACAAATCAGGGACTCACCTCGATTTTGAACATCAAGCGTTAGATCGTAACCAACTCCTACAGATTTGCTCTGTATCCCATATGTCCATATTGCATTGAGGAGTAAGGTGGCCCGTTTCAGCCCGTATGGGTCGATTGGTTCAGCTCGTTCACTATATGCTAGCCATCGCTCTGGTACAGAGAATCCATTGGGCAAGGTCGCCCTTGCACGCCTGCCCAGCTCGCTAATCAGCGCCGAGCTCGCCTTGCCTTAATGCCAGCCTCCTCACGCCTGCCCAATAGGAGGTCGGCATATACGTACACATCAGGCTTGGCCACGCTGGTCTCAGGCCGCCCAGATCGACCGTACATGAGGTCGGCTATGAACATAAAACATCACTCCTCATCCTAAGGGTCAATCACCGCACTGGCAATACTCTCGACCCAGTTCGTCAACCGAACACTGAGGGGGGAGTAATATTGGGATTAGGCCCAACACCTGCTTCGAGCCACCAGCAGCTGGCCCAGCTACGCACCCACAGGCCCAAGAGGAGAAGACATACCCACGTGGGCAGCACCACGTGGGCCAATGAGAGACTTACATGTGCAGATACAGGTCAGCACTTGGGGCTATAAATACCCCCCAACTACCTCCGATGAAGGTAATTAATCTCTACACTTCTCTCTCTGCAATTACTCCTTGAAGGCATCTCTCTCTAGAATATCGAGTATTGTTGACTTGAGCATCAGAGTGTTTTTCCGAGGAAACATCCTCGGGATTTTCAAGTGTAGAAGTAGCTGAGGATTTCAACAGTGCTGAACTGCGAAGTTGCCCAAACAGGTGGAAATCGAATTTCTGACCAATTACATCCAAGTACTTAAGGTTTAGGAAGAACCATTGAACCCAAACACCATAAGGGTTAAAATACTTCTTGTACTTTAAATTGAATTTAATAAAAGGTTTTTAATTTACTAATAAAAAAATTAGTTCCCATAGTCAATATAGGCAAAAATCTATTTTTAATCATTTATCTTAATAAATTTGTATGTTTTAATCTCTCACCTTATATTATAACATTTTTAGTTCTTCACCTATATGAATTGAAAAAAGTAACCATTATTTAATATCAAATTAGTTGATTATTAATTCTTTTAGTTGACTGTTAGTTTTGTTAACTGACTATTAACATTCTATTATAGAAAACATGAAATTTAAATTCAATTTTATTTGTTAGTTCTGTTAATGAAATGCTAACAATCAATTAACAGTTAACAATCAACTAACAGAATTAACAATCAACTAACAGAACTAACAATCAACTAACAGAACTAACAATCAATTAATAAAACTAACAAAACGTTATAACTTGATATTAAGTAAGAATTATTTTCTTTAATTCGTATAAATGAAAGATTAAAAATATTATAATATAAGGTGAAGAATTAAAACCTATAAATTTATCAACGTTAAGGAAAGTAGGCTTTTACCGTCAATATACCTACAATTAATTTGAATTCTTTTCTTTTCAAAATAATAATAATAATAACAATTTTAATTTGTGACTATCGAAAATTATAGTTAATGACAGACAATTTTAATTATTTTATCCCAAAAATCCATTTGCATGTCTATTCGTCCTTGTACAGAGTCCGGTCCAAACGGCGCAGAGTCAGAGTGTAATCCAAACGGCATACTGATGTAAAGGTAGGACTAAGTCAAAAGTTGATCTCATATGTATCGTTCCGGCTACCCTTGTTCAAGTTGCTTCTTCTTAGGCTTCTCAATTATGGCGTCTCGAGCACTGCTTTTTCTCTTCTTTGTCGCAGCAACAGCTACGGCGGTGCACTGCAATTTGGAAGGTTAGTCATATATATACACAAACTAAAGACGTACAACTTCAATTCCACTTTCTGTTTTCCATCTTACGTTCTAAATTGGCTCCTTAACTGATGAAAAGTGGATGCTCTTAATGCCTGGAAAATCAAAGTTGGCGGATCCCTACAATGTCCTTCAGAGCTGGGATCCAACCCTATTCAACCCCTGCACCTGGCTCCACATAACATGCAACAGTAACAACAGTGTCACATGGGTGTACGTATGTATCCTACTTCAATTTTTTTATTATTATGAAAAAATATTCTGACATTATTTCTTCTTGATTTTGGATCTTAGAGTTAAATTTTTTGGTTTACTGTAGGGACCTGGGAAATGCTAGATTATCAGGAGTTCTTGTCCCGGAGCTCGGCCTTCTCTCCAATCTTGAATTTTTGTAGGACCGTCTTCTATTTTATTTTTGTTTCTTTTGTGTATCTAAGTTAACTACTTTTAACGTTCTTAAATGAGAAAATCCAACGTAAGGAAGAAATAAACTAAGTTATTTCACATATTATCAATTGATTTTAGATTAAATTAATATTCGGTTTGTATTTTAGTCCATATTAAATTTCACAATGTTTAACGTAACGTAAAATCCAGGCTGCAAGGATACCATACCGATTCAACTAAGTTGTTCATTATTATTTAATTTCTCCATTCTTAATATTTTCTTTCTTCTAATTTCTTGGATAATTTTTTTATTTCATTTTCTGGCAGCTTAGTGTTTAACGATGAAATCAGTGGATCCATTCCAACAGAGATTAATTGGTAATTTAACGAAATTAGTTAGCCTGGATCTGCACCACGTACAACCTACTCTCCGGATCTATTCCGGTATCTCTTGGCAACTTGGCATCTTTGAGGTTCATGTAAGTTTTATTAATTGGGTTGTCTCATATGTGCACTTTAGAAGTTATATTTATTAATTGTACATTTTTTATAATTTATATTGAAAATATAAATATTAATTTTATTTTTAACACTAATAATATTTGTATCTCGTCCTAATTGGATGAAGAATAAAATTAAAGTTAGTTATTATTATTTTTCATAATAATTAATAAAAAAATAATTAATGCACTCTTAGAGTACAAAATAAAAATACTTTTTAATTTAAAGAGTTTTGTAATCTGCACACACCTTAAAATCATTGATTAAGGAAGGCCCTCACTCATGGATGATTATCTACGTGGAGTGCACGTTAATTTACAAAAAAATTAGAAAAAAAAAAAGAGAGGAATATTCATTTTGTTAATGTTGTTATGCATGAATATAAATAGTAATAACCTAACTGGCAGAATTCCATCAAAGGTTCTTAATCTTATTCGGTTGGGCAACTTGAGGATTTTGTAAGTAACTACACTTTATCTTTCTCTAATTTTTTTTGTCTTTTTTACCCACTAATTATATGAATTTTTTGTTCAATAGAATTTAATTTTGTTAATCATAATTAAGATCGTTGATTACTGACTTACTAATGTTTTCCTATGATCCATCAGGAATATATCCGAAAATGCGTTGACAGGGACTATCGGCCACAAAAAAAATACAGGTGAGCTTGTAAAATTTTGATAGGCAAAACAAATATAAAAAAATTGTTTGTAATTTAAATTATATTAGACTATAAAATATAAATAATTAAATAGTAAAGAGTCTTTAATAATGAATGAATGTCTCTCTATTTAATAATTAATATTTTACGATTCTAATTACAATGAATTATAAAACACCAAACTCACAAAATATTAACTTTATGTATATTAAAATAACTATTGTATTTTGAGCTTGCCAAAGTCACAAGCCTATCAATGACGGAAGAAAGAAAGAGATCTTCAATTGTTCAACAAATAGAGACTCACATGCCCGTCATTAGTGATGGAAGAGAAGGGGAGGGAAGAAGAATGAAATATTTATTTTTTTATTGGATAATTGAAAAAATTAAAAAAATTAAAAATAAAAGAGAAGACTTCTCGTTGCTCCCCTCCCTTCTTCCAATCATTTTAGCAACTAAATAGAAAACTTCTTTTCTTATTTTCTTCTCCTTTCTTAAACTAAATATAGTTGTAATTATAGTCACTTATTATTTTTGTTATAATCACATAAAAATTATTTAGTTTAAATTATGTTTTATCTATTTGTAATTTTTTCTTAAATAGTTGATTGTTATGATATATGAAAATATTAGTTTATAAAATGATTTCAATCTGTTAAATAATTAGTATCTAGTATTTTATTTATCAATTATTTTTAATAATCAAATTAAACAAAATTAAGTAACATTTTTTTCGGTACATACAAAATTAAGTAACATTAACAAAATAGTAAATAACAAAATAATGAGTAATTATAACCTAACTCACCAAACATAGCTAAACTTGATAAAATTGTACTTAATTTGAAGATTCGACCTAACCCACAACTATGGATAAGGTCATGAGAATAAAATATCAATCTAGAATTTAATATAATTTAGATCAAAATTACTTAGATTTGATTGAGTTGAATTAAGATCAAGTCAAATTAACCTACAGTGATTTGATTACAATTAATTAATTTTTTTAATTTAAAATTTTAATTAATTATATTTTTAATTTTAGTTTTTAAATATAAAATGAAGTTAAATATTTTAAAATAATAATTATTTATTACATTATTAAAATTAATAATGGGCCGCTACCGGCCTGAAAAGATCGCCTCAAGGTCCAAGTCCACCAAATGATTTTGAGGCCAGAAAAGGTCCAAGTTCATCACTAACATTGCAGCAATAATTCGTAGTCTATTTCGTGTTTTGTAGGGTTTGCAGTTACAACAATAATCCAAGATCCAAAAGCTCCCAAATAAACGAATTGAGGATTTGGCATCCTTTGACTACAGGTGGGCACTCAGGTGGGTAACCGAATGGTTACTCAAAAACCGAATTGAAAAAATGAATTTGGTTTGATTTTAATGATTTTTGAGTTTTACTATTTTGGTTTAGTATTAACCAAATAAATTTTGGTTTGATTTTGGTTGAATCTTTCATCAATTAAAAACCAAAATGAGTCTCCTGAAAATCAAAATTTGGATAAATATAATAAAATATGATATGAAATATAATCTATTATTGAGAAAAAAATTGATTAATGTTTATTGGTAAAAATTGAAACCAAATATAAAATAATCGATTTTATTGGTAACCAAACCGATTGGTTGATGAAAAATTTGATTTGATTGTGGTTTTCAAAATTGAAGAAAATTTTTTTTGGTTAATTTAAAACCGATTTCAATTTCAACCAAAACTAGTTTTTGCCCACCCCTACCTTTCACTACCTCTGTATTTGTACTGCTCTTGAATAATCTGGCGATTTTTGTACCCTGTGTTTAATAATCTACTTGGTACGTGTCAACTTGTTTCAAAACCGTGTTTATAATTTATAAAGTTATGGTTAAGACTGAAACTTCTACCATAGTTCAATGCTTGAAGATAGATTATTTAAAATTTTTAAACGTATATGAATGATTTAAATAGTTTAATGATATAATTTTCTTTTAATGAAAGAGATCTTGGGATTTAAGTTATATAACATGTAAGATTTGTGAGTTGAAAAATAAAAGAATATTATCTGATATTGTATACTTTAAAATAAGAGTAAAATCTAAATGTACATTCTTGCATCTTTCTTTTTTTTACTAGGGAAAATCTCACGTTAGTAATAAATTTATAAGATATATGAAAAATAAAGATATGAAGCTAAGAAAGAAGAATAAGAGAATTCATGTGGTATTTGATTATAGAATCAAAAAAGGTCCATATAGCAAGCTATTGTGTTTGAAGAACAAGAATAACGCTTTTTACCAATTTGTTCTAACTTTTTTCAATTCCATCATGGATGGAAGAAAATGTCGATAGCCTGTGAGAGTTCCCTTAATTCATTGACGTGGGACTTAGTACATGACACCTTTTTTCATTTTTGCCTTTCGCGATGAGGACATGTCTATCCTTTTTAAAAGGTAGAATCTTATGTTAAATTTCTAAACTTACCTTAAATTTTGGATTAAATTTTTAAATTTTTATTAAAATAAATAAGTCCATTAACTTAATAATCTAGGTAATTTAATCCTTTTTTACTTTGCAGTGGATTTAACATTCAGTTGTGCTTAGGTTGCAAGGAAGAGGTATTAACATATTATTATCAACATGACATATATTAACATTATTCACGTAAGTGAAGTACAAATTAACGTTAAATCCAATATAAGAAAAATAGTTAAATTACTAAAATTATCAAGTTTAAGATTTTATTTGCTTCAATAAAAGTTTAAAAACTTAATCGAGAATCACAAAAAAAAAAAAAAAAACTTAATTGAGAATCTAAGATAAATTAAAGAGCTTAATGTAGAATTTTACCTTTTAAAAACAAATTACATCCATTAAGTATAGTGTACAAATAAATCTGAATGTCTTAGAAAAAATTTTCACACTCGAGAGTGAAATCCACAACTTTAAAATTGTGATGTATCTCAACCTCTAAATCCTTTATATCACTAAAAAGAAAGTGAAACCCAACAAGTCAACAAAACCACATGCACATCAACTGAAAATTGGAATGAAATGGACCCCTCACACTTAACACCAGAAACCTTAAAAGACGTATTCTTCTATTGTGGTTCATTGGTGGCCACTGCAGTCCAACAAAGCTACTGGTGGATTGTACTCCTGATCAGTGATTGAATCTTGTCAAAGAATAAGGTAATAAATTTTAATTCTTAACTCCTAATCATTGTCTTTGTTAAAAAAAAAAAAAAAAAAAAAAAAAAAAAAAAAACCTTAAAAGACGAGTGTACTCTTAATTGTCAACAATCAAATTGAGCACCATTTCTTGCTTCCATGGGCCTACATCTAACCTACCAAGAGGCAACGATGGAGCTATTATTAATCTTAATCCTGTAAGCACTCATATGTTATTATTATTATTATTATTATTATTAAGGTATTTGCAAATTAACTTATACTAAATCTTAAATTAATTTTTTTAAAATATATTTTTATATTAATTTAATGCATTTAAAAAAATTAAATTTTTTAGATATTAAATTTGACTTATGAGAGAACTTTTTCTTATTTATCATTAAATATTTTAAATTTTAAGTATGAAATTTCTTCTAGGGATGAGATGTATGTTGGGATATCTCCTTGTTTTCTTTTGTACTCACCAATCTTGAGATATCATTTACATAAAATAATTGGAGGATACGAACATCCTTAATGGAAGGCATCCCCAATGAAAATGTGTCAATGAGGCACCATAAATTCCTTTCCGTTGACTTGTACGCATAACAAATTTTGCTGCTTTAAAACTAAGCCTTACAATACCGAATCCAACCACAACAAAATAAATATTCAAGTTTAAGACCAAAATGAAAGTGCAATTTGCAAAGAACCACTTTTCTATACACAGTAAAAAAAATAAAAATAAAAATAAAAATAAAAAAGAGAGAGAAGAAGGAGAAGAAGTTATTGAACCAAGA